TTTTGGGGCTCATTTTGGGCTGGGTTTTTTGGGGAGGCGTCTTTAACCCTTTCCTCCCCAGTGTGGGTTGAACCCCAGGTTTTGGGTGGGATTTATGGGATTTTGGGGTGGGTTTTTTTGGGGAGGGGTCTTTAACCCTTCCCTCCCCAGCGCGGGGTGTACCCCAGTTTTTTTGGGTGGGATTTATGGGATTTTGGGGTGGGTTTTTTTGGGGAGGGGTCTTTAACCCTTCCCTCCCCAGCGTGGGGTGAACCCCATTTTTTTTGGGGTGGGATTTATGGGATTTTGGGGTGGGTTTTTTTGGGGAGGGGGTCGTTCTTTAACCCTTCCCTCCCCAGCGTGGGGTGAACCTCAGCTCGGTGGGGGGCTCGGTGCTGGGCCGGGGGGGCTGCGGGACCCTCGCCCCCGGGCAGACGCTGCTGCTGGTGAACGGGAGGTACCCCCTGGTGCTGCACTTCGAGGGGACCCCCCACCCCAAAAAACGCCCCGCCAGCCCCCCCGAGGAGCCCCCCCCGGCCCGCAGAGACCCCCAAAGCCCCTCCCGGGGGGGGTGGCAGAAACTGGGACCCCTCCTCATCTTCACCCCCTCAGGGCTCCGGCCCAGCACGAAGGTACGGGCGGGGGGGGGGGATTTTGGGGGGAGGGATTTGGGGGTCCTGTGCCCAGCCTCCCCCCCCCATTTCAGAGACCCCCCCAAATTCCCCCCTCAAACCCCCAACCCCCATGGGGCTCCCCAAACTTCAGCCCACAAACCCCTGAGCCCCCCAAAATCTCCCCAAATCGCACTCCAGACACCTCAGAGCCCCCAAATCCCACCCCAGAACCCCTCAGACTCCCCAGATCCCACCACAAGACCCCTCAGACCCCCCCAAATCCCACCCCAGGATTACTCAGACCCCCCCAAATCCCACCCCAAGACCACTCAATGCACTCAGACCCCCCAATTCCCCTCCCAGGACCCCTCAGACCCCCCCAAATCCCACCCCAAGATCCCTCAATGCACTCAGACCCCTCAAATCCCATCCCAGGACCCCTCAAACATTCTCAGACCCCCCAAATCCCCTCCCAGGACCCCTCAGATCCCCCCAAATCCCCTCCCAGGACCCCTCAGCCCCCCCAAATCTCAAAGCACCCCTTTTTCCCTCACAAAAACCCCCAAACAACCCCTTCAAGTGGGTGAAAACCCCCCAGAATTCCTGGGGGGGGGGGGTCTGGGTTGGGATTTGGGGTTCCCGGGGGAGTCCCCACTGTCCCTGACCCCTCCTGTTTTTTGGGGACCCCCCCAGATTGCGGGGTTCGACCTGGACGGGACCCTCATCACCACCCGCTCGGGGAAGGTGTTTCCCACCAGCCCCGACGACTGGAGGTGAGCGGGGGGCGTTTTTTGGGGGGGTCTTGGGGATGTTTTTGGGGTCCCACTCGCTTTTTATTTCTTTTTTTCCCTGCTCGCACAGGATTTTGTATCCTCAGATCCCCAAGAAGCTGCAACAGCTGCAGGATGAGGGGTACAAGGTGAGACCCCCTCCCCAAAATTCCACACCCTGGGACCCCAAATCACTTCAGGACACCCCAAACCCTTTAAGACCCCCGCCCCAAATCCCACAAGACCCCCTTGAGCCCCCAAAGCCCCCCCAAACCCCTCAGGGCTCCTCCAAACCCCTCCAGAGCCCCCTAAAGCCCCCCC